TGATGCAAGAAAAGTTAGGTGGGGTCGACTTTTCGACATCAAGAGCTATCCAGCCTTCTCGTATATTATCATCATTGGGGTTGCATTTTAAACCAAAGATCTCGGGTAACTAAAAGAGATAATATAATAACATTATTTTCGGGTACGTTTTAATCCATCTTTCTGTCCAGCTCGAGGCCCCATTATGTCCACTAGACAATAGCCACTACAGTTATACCATTAGTACTTCATAACGAAGCAGCTAACTAGCGTCATTTTTTGCGTTTTCGCTCTTTAAGCTCTTTCAATCTGTTGCAGCGACGAAGCGAAAGTACTGTTTTATCTTGTTAGACGGCACTTGGTCGCGCGTCATAAACGTTTTGATTTTGCTGAACGGCGATTTGTAATTGCAGCAAGCAAAAAACACCGCTGTAAGTTTTCACTAAACGGCACTTTGTTGCTTTTATGGCGAAAAGCGAAAAAACGCCATATAATTCACAGCATAACATTTTTCTTAAACAGCGCTTTGTCGCCACGAACGAGCAAACAAGTGGCATTTTAGAACAAGACTATGCTGACCACCCAAATGGAGCTTTTTCGACTTTTTACGAAATGCAAAAAAAGAAAATCGACAACGTGACGACTAGCAAATTGAAATACATCTTTTCGCTTTGTCACGACGAAAAGCGCCATTAAATAGCGATAGAGCGAAAAGGCAAAAAGCAGAAGTTGCTATATCATATTCCAGGGGTGCAGAGAGCCTACATTAGCGTAACGTCTGGAATATCGAGGGTGGTATTATACTCGTCTTCAAAATTCTCTTTCCAACAAATGCTTTGCGACATATACTGTACGACAAAGGCGATATGCACTGTATTAGACAGTAACACTTGTTTACATCGTCCAACAAACAGTTTTCAACGATACTCTGTATAAAACGGAAAAGATCCGCAAGATATTGCCCAACCAACACGTATTGCCTGATCGCCATAGAACAGACACAGCCAATATACAAACATCAGTCAGAATCTTAGAGTTCTCAAACCAAATAGTATCTACACCAGACGATATTTGTTTTGGGTCTGTTTGCAAGTGTTTGGTTGCGTATTTACCACCCCAATGTTTTGATAAACAGACTTTACTACATGCAAATAGATTACGATAACCGGGCCATATGGCAATGTTTAGTCGGCTGCCAAAAACATGTCAGGCCCCTACTTAAAAGCAAGTTATATACGCACATAGGGAATGAAAAGGAATGCAAGTATAAGACATTGTAAAAATTGTACAATAAACTACCCCTGCAGTTCCGACTAAATAACAGTTTTATAACTCCCTGTTGTATTTTTAATGATCATATTTATACCTTTTCGGAAATGATTTTTTGCTTTTATTTACGCCAGTGTCACATTCTTTGACAAAAACGAAACCGGAAAATTTAAGCTGTGCTCGTATCGTGTCTTAGTAGAGCAAAAAATATTTCTATTTCAGTGAAAACATATACATGTAGCAAGCTTATGTCAAAACTCCAAACTATTGGAAACGTTTTGTAGGTCTTCTAACACGCAATGCCTTCGGGAAAGCAACACTAACTGAATATCATTTATCAAAGCAACCCAAAACATTTTTGTTTCATTAGGAATATTTTGCTAGAGGGCATCATTAAAGATTTGACTAAAAACGCATTCATTTTCGTCATTGCGCAAGACATCACTTCCGTTTTAAAAAAGATACAAAAAATGCCTCAAAAGCTCTTTCAGATAACGCTTATTTTAATCTTTGGACACTCTTTTCATATGAATATTTCATTGACTCTAGACTGCAACCTACAGTTAGCTTGATCTTACCAGTCACGTAGATATCCTACTGATTTTAAAACAACAACCTAATATACCGACATATCTGGCGCGGATATACACATACGTTAAAAAAAAATAAGATGAAGATTTTAAAAGCCATTGCCCAAACGAAATTCCCCGGTTTCGGATCCATGGTTGACAATACTACTTATTGACCACTTCCCATTGTCTATTATCTTTTTATCTACAAGAACATACATTACTAGGTACACCAGCCGTAGTTTAAGACCAAATTTAGTATATTTGAAGATACTACTAAGAGTCTAAACAACGAGGTTCTCGAGAAATAGTCATTGAACAATTCGAATCTTTCAAAGAAATCAGCGCATGCACTTTTGTTAAATACAGACATCTAACATTTTAAAAGTGTGATCCGATGATATTATTTTTTTTATCTTCGAGCCCCTCTTTGATCAACTTATAAAACAAAATGTATTTACAGCGATTTAAAAAACTCAAAAATTTTAATGCTATCTACGAGTTCGCAGTGTATATGTTTTCAACCGTTAAGTGTGTGATTTATAGGAGCAAGCAACGTAAAATAACTAACTTTTGATTAAAACGAAATTAAGTATAAGTTATCTTTTTGTTTTCTGCTTCAAACTGTACAAATCTATTGTTAAAACCGACGTAAAACATTTTCCGGTACGACAAATAATATAAATACTCATATATATTACTTTTTTTTCTTTTTTTTTTTAATTCTGAAACTATACTTCCCTATACTATATGATGTTAACAGACCGCTGACCCTACGCGCTAACCACATTGACGGGTAGTCAGTCTTATACTTGTTGTACTACCAACACCGGCCAATATAAGCAGTTCTGACAGACACCTGGAAGACGGAAGTTTAACCCCTTTTGAATATAGATTGAAGCTGGTCGATTAGTGCGTTTAGCGTGTGCAAGTCATCAGGTATCATCAACTGCATTTATGAGTGCAATCACAGCACTGACGATGGTTTTGTTGCTCTGGTAGACAATATTCCGGGAGAAACACAACAAGCTGTCGGATGCAGTGCCATGGCGGAAGGTTAAAGTTACACTAGGCGTATTAGCAATTAGTGAACCACCTTTATCGCATTCGTTGCATTAAATGGATACATCTTTTGGAATTTTTCAAAGTAATATCCATTAATCACAGAAGGAAATATGTCTGGTGTTATAAAGAATAGATTAAAGAATGATTTGAGAAAGCCTAGAATAAAAAGACGGCGTTAAAATGGAATGGAGAATGAGCCGACATGATGATCACTGAAGCATGATTTCGTTAAGACAGTCGGTAAAGCTATAGATACTGATGCCATTCAAGTAACATTACATTAAACAAATTATCGAGTCCATTTATGCACTTTTTTTGTCCTTGGTATATGCCTTCGGTAATTTTTTAAACGAAATATACCCGCTTTAACCATCTGGAAAGACGGCATGGCGAATTTTAACGTCATAGTTAACCTTCAAGGCGAAATCCAAATTGCTATTAAAAACAGACATGCCCAATCAAAACATGTTAAAATAACCAATGGAAGCTGTTAAAAGATTCCTAAATATCTCACCATCAATGCCAAGTTATAGGACCTCACCAAGTCGACAATGACCTTGCAAATTTCACGGTTCGTGTTCATAGTGGTTATTTGTCAGGTTTCAACATACATCTACATATATCTATGCCTAAATACAACATTTGTAACATGACCTTTTCAAATTGTACTTAAGCATTGAACTGTTTTTGTATGGTATTTATGATCTATTCGATAGCGCGCATTATGTTGTTTGCATGCAAAGCTGTGTCATTCAAATAAATCATAAATACCATACAAAAACAGTTCAATACTTATATTTACATTTTCTCTGCCTCTTATGTTCTTTTTTTACTTGTAATTTATATTTAAAATTTGAACTGCCCTCCTTATCGACAGTCCACAAAATTTCGTTCAATAGTTTGAACAGCGTGTTTGTCGCGTGCTGATTGGCAAACAAAGTAGTTCTTTGAAATGTTAACAAACACTTCAATGGTATCCCACAATTCAGTATCAATACAATTGCGTATGATACGTCTATAGGGTGATTTAAGTTTATCAATAGAACTCTGAGCTGAAACTTAGATTTGAAATTGTTTCGATTTTTCTCCGGAACAAATTTAGCGCATGGATAAATACAGTGAACACCGTAAATCCGACCTTGCCCTCCACGAGAGAGTTATTTTTGGAAGTTAATGTGAAGAATCCAGACGTGAATTTATTTGTTGATTGTATGGGAATCTGACTACAGTCTGTAGATTCTATAACAGCCTCGTTATTTGACATGTCGTCAGAAACAGTGGCTGCGAGACGCGTGAAACTGATAGCGTTTGAAGTGAGTGATCTTGCGACGGAGCACATGGGTTCATTACAAATGTCTGAAATGTTTATGTTTGCTGTGACTCATATCAGTAGGTCTGTAACATATGTTTCAGTAGGTCTATACAATATGTGTATTTCAGACATTTGTAACGAACCCCTGTTGGTCAGTGCAGTGTAACAGACGATATTTTTGATAAATTGCATGAGCGTTAAAATTGTTTCCATTGCCGGCATTGGTGATTTCAACCGATGTGCATTTTGTACGATATTGCAGACCTTGGAGGCTTGGTCTTGTTTTTGTTGTAATAAAAGTATTTTTTTATTTTGCATATAAATTAACAATGACATTGTCATTTTGTCATTTTGTACGATATTGCAGACCTTGGTCTTGTTTTCGTTTGAATAAAAGTGTTTTTTTTTTATTTTATTTTTATTTTGCACATTAATTTACAATGACATTGTCAAATCTCACAATGCCCAGCGATATTTCAGCAGCCGTCATGTTTATTTACATTGGATATTGTAGTTCCGGTCAGAGTTGTATTAATACGCTAAGAAGTATGTCTCGTGCTGCATGGTAATTAAAGTCCCATCAACGACACAGCTTTCAAAGAGGCTTTATAGTGACAATGCCATGCAAATGTAAATATATGCACATGACATGACCTCGCCGGGTTTTGATATGACCTTGTCAAGTTGTACATAACATGGCCTTGTCAACATGTAATACGGTCGTAACAGACTACTTGGCGTACGAGTCAGAAAAATATAAAAAGAAAAGGATATGCCAAAATATTTTGAAAACCGGAAATACTTACGCAAAATCGGTCTCACTTCCCGTAGCGGCATTTCCGTCTGACCACTGTATATAGCAAATGGTGATTGATATATTGCCATATTTTTCTACTTTGGTTCTTCCGTAAATGAGGTTTGGTATGGAGAGGAATGTAGACACGCCCCAGATGACACAGATAGCCAGTACGACCCGACCAGTCATGCGTGGCCGGAGGGGATGTATGATAGCCATATATCTACAACAGAGAAACATAAACAAAATACAGGTAATGTCACGGTAATGCATGGTGTAATGAGTAGAAAACAACTATTCAAGTGTGTATTTGTCAAATGTATAAAACGTATACATTACAGACGTGTGGTGATCAGGTGTAGAGAACATTGACAACAAGGAAAATGGATATATTTGAGGTAGATATGCAGCAGCCTCGTTTTGGCCTGTTAATGTACGAAATTTGTATATTTCCATATGATGCCCCTTTTGTATTGATAATATCGACGAATTTCATTCCACATCTAATGAAAATATAATACCTTGTATCTAATATCAATATCTATATAAAAGTATTACAAAGAAAAAGAGAAACTATGAAAAAGAGTGAATAACACGGAGGCGATTATAACAGGACAAGAATAATGCGATCATGTACTCCGGAAGGGTAAGCGCGTTTTGCTTCGCTGTAGACACATATCATGCACTTTATATCAATTCAAAGTAATGATACTTTCTCAAAGATAGAATAAGAGAAGTGAGAACGAAACCACGTACGTTAATCCGCTCTAAAGAATACCGTAAGTATGTGCAACAAAAGTAAGTCGTCGTTCTTGGACACCTTTGAATTTCTTGTGGTACATTTCCAGACAGAATCCAAATATCAGTAATTTTAGTATGTTTTGACATTAGATAATTACTGATTCAGGTCAGTACGCTCTGCAGTGCATGGAAAGATAAGTGACGACTTTAACTTCTTGATAGTATACTATCCTTCACCGGTAATATCCACCCTCATCTGCTGAAGAAGTTTTCGCAGTCGACATTATAACGAAATATCCAGTTATGAGGACCTTGCTTATAGACTTGTTCCTTGTCTCTATTGGAAACCTACAAACTTTCTTGTTTTGACGAAAGACATGATGATGGGTGCCACCTGGTGGTGACGGGAGACATGATGGTGGGTGCCACCTGGTGGTGACGGGAGACATGATGATGGGTGCCACAGGTGGTGACGGGAGACTTGATGATGGGTGCCACAGGTGGTGACGGGAGACTTGATGATGGGTGCCACAGGTGGTGACGGGAGACATGATGATGGGTGCCACCTGGTGGTGACGGGATACATGATGATGGGTGCCACAGGTGGTGACGGGAGACTTGATGATGGGTGCTACAGGGGGGGACGGGAGACATGATGAGGGGTGCCACAGGTGGTGACGGAGACATGATGATGGGTGCCACAGGCGGTGACGGGAGACTTGATGATGGGTGCTACAGGGGGGGACGGGAGACATGATGAGGGGTGCCACAGGTGGTGACTGGAGACATGATGATGGGTGCCACAGGTGGTGACGGGAGGCATGATGATGGGTGCCACAGGTGGTGACGGAGACATGATGATGGGTGCCACAGGCGGTGACGGGAGACTTGATGATGGGTGCTACAGGGGGGGACGGGAGACATGATGAGGGGTGCCACAGGTGGGGACGGGAGACATGATGATGGGTGCCACAGGTGGTGACGGGAGGCATGATGATGGGTGCCACAGGTGGTGACGGAGACATGATGATGGGTGCCACAGGTGGTGACGGGAGACATAATGACGGGTGTCTATGCGGTGCAGGGATGTTAACCATATATTTGTTGGATGAATCAATGTTGTCTTCCTTTTAGTTTTGTGATCTTTTCAGTCTCTTCTGAAATTTGGATTCAGATTGTGTCACAGTGTGGCGACGCTGTGGTTAAGTTGTTTCCGTTATATTTTATATTCACTGTTGATGTATCCCCCCACAACATCTTAGAGAGGAATTGGGATGCACGATTTGCTATCTGACATCTACAGTGCAAGTCGTTAGACAAGCACTTTCATGTTTTATGTATCAAGAAAGGAAATTATAAAGTCACCAAGTCGGAAAAATGATACGGTTTTAAATATCAGTTACACCCAGGTTCAGACCGACTACTTTGAACGTTTCTTATTTATTTTCTTAATATGTTCTAGATATGAAGATGTTTGCTTTTAACCAATTTATGTGTTACGTACTATCATATCGTTTAGATATTATTCACATGTTTATTCGGACAGTCGTATTAGTCTGCAGATAATTTGACTGCAGGAGCTTTCGTTTTAGTGATTGTACAGGAATGTATATATTCTTGCACATGTCTTAAACGCCCCAGCAAAGGAACTCATGCAAGTGACTCGATGGCACAGTTCAGCAATATACACTCTGGTATATTACTGTATGTAACTCTAGCTTATCAGTCTACAATACGTTAGCCTAAAGTTGTTTGGAAGAATGATCGTTGGGCTAAAATTCCTCAATTCGTAATCAGGCCAGTGTTTACGACATGTCTGCATGCTCATTATGTCATCGTTTGTTTGAGTAGCCTACGCCATAGACTTAACACTGAAATACTTGTGTACAACGCAAAGCAGATTATAACCTCAGCATGGCACAGAGAATATGAACAGCTAATATGAAATGGAGTAATTGTAAGAAAATCTGAGAATTAAATATCACAAATAACCTGCAGCAAGCCCACGAGGCAAGCTACATATACAAACTAGGCTTGTTGCGTACATTTCTTAAAAAGTCTTCGGGGATGAAAGAAGTTTCTCGATTTGAGCAATGCACGGTGATTCAAATACATGTTAAAAACAAGACGTTTATGTCATCAGCTATCCGAGTCATTGTTTGTTACATTCGAGATATCTGAGGTCTGTTGTCTGCTGACTTATGAGGTATGGAGTCTGCGAAATCGAAGATGGCTATAACCCGGATACAGTAACTCCGAGTTACGGTGACAGAGCTGGGGCCTGTTCCTTTATGTAACAATTTCGGGTTTATGTTTATGCAGGCCTTGTCAAGGCTCGCCTGAAAGCAGCATCATATTACTAGGTAGTACCTTATTTGATAAACGAACAATTGCGGTCCGACCGATTCGGCCGTTATGTGCTCTGAGTTATAGTGTCTGCTGATCCCAGAGTTATGTGTGTACATATGTATGTTACCATGAATATGATATTCACTCTCCCCAAAAATATGTCGTCTGCAACCTCCCAAGTATAGTCGCCTCCTCACCTCGAGTAATGTCGTCTGCTACACAGCCAACTTTCCATAACGTTGAATTAACGTTAAAATAACAATATTTACATGTGCATACCATTGTCACTAGATAACGTACTTACAAGCTGTGTCGTTGGTGGGACTTTACATGACATGCACAACGAGACGCAATGCTAAGCCAATCAGCACGCGACCATACGCTGTTCCAGTTTTGTGCAGACCGTTGATAAGGCGGGAATTTTTAAATTTTAAATATATTTTGTAAGTTAAAAAAACCATAAAAGGCAGATAAAACGTAAAAATAAGCATTGAACTGTTTTTGTATAGCATTTATGATACGAACAAATCATAAAGCGCTGCTATCGCGCATTATGGTGTTTGCTTGTAAAGCTGTGTCATTCAAATAGATCATAAATGCCATACAAAATAGTTCAATCTTTAATAATATTTAACGTTATATGCACGTTACTGCTCGCTTTATGTGATGTTGACGTTAACAGTTTAACATGACAATAACATTATTTTTACGATAATCAATGTTTGGGAAAACATGGCTATAACGTCCGATACTTTTCAAGTATTGACATGCATATTTCCTGGGGCTTTTTGTTAACCTTAAACTCCGTTACATTTATGACATTTCCTTGGGCTTTTTGTTAACCTAAAACTCCGTCACATGTATGACATTTCCTTGGGCTTTTTGTTAACCTAAAGCTCCGTCACATGTATGACATTTCCTGGGGCTTTTTGTTAACCTAAAACTCCTTCACATGTATGACATTTCCTGGGGCTTTTTGTTAACCTAAAGCTTCGTCACATGTATGACATTTCCTGGGGCTTTTTGTTAACCTAAAACTCCGTCACATGTATGACATTTCCTGGGGCTTTTTGTTAACCTAAAACTCCGTCACATGTATGACATTTCCTGGGGCTTTTTGTTTACCTAAAACTCCGTCACATGTATGACATTTCCTAGGGCTTTTTGTTAACTTAAAACTCTGTCACATGTATGACATTTCCTGGGGCTTTTTATTAACCTAAAACTCCGTTACATGTATGACATTTCCTGGGGCTTTTTGATAACCTAAAACTCCTTCACATGTATGACATTTTCTGGGGCTTTTTGTTAACCTAAAGCTTCGTCACATGTATGACATTTCCTGGGGCTTTTTGTTAAACTAAAACTCCGTCACATGTATGACATTTTCTGGGGCTTTTTGTTAACCTAAAACTCCGTCAATGTATGACATTTCCTGAGGCTTTTTGTTTATAGGGGATCTTTCCTGTCGAAAAAGCATATGTATCGAAAATATTTTCCTCAAATTTGATTTTTTTTCATTCTTGCAAACCCGCATATCAGATATTTAATAATCCCGTACAATATCGTTTTAGTGCTATTAATGTAACATTGCAAAGTGTGATTATTTTTCCACAAACGCAATCTTTTCTCACTTCAAATAGACATTAAGTTTTATATTGTTACCTTACGTACCGTTTACAGGCGTTTGAAATGTCTTTTTACTGAACTTAATGAACGCAGCCCTATATTACATGAGAACATGTAGACGGGACCCCCCACGGGAGTGTCAATCTACGTGAAATAGGCAACAGTACTGCAATGTAGCGGCACTGAATGACGGCGTACAGCAACTTGAAATAACACCTTCGCAATTCTCTAAGACAATCACTTGATTAAATAAAAACTTTCGTGAAAGAAAAAGTAAAAATATATGAATTTTAGCTATCATTAAACAAAATTGTTGGATGTTTAAAAACAATATTTGGAGAACTCACTCAGAATAGTCCTATACCGCAGGGACCTGATAATTCGTTACAGCTATACTTAAACCTAAACTTAGGTGTTTAGAGGAATTTTCTCGATGTCGAAAAATCGACCCCACCTACATTTCTTGCATAAAATAGAGGAAATGGAGATCATATTCGCGGAATG